CCTCCACATTGCTGATGTCAATTCTTCCCTCTCCTGCACACACACACACACACACACACACACACACACACACACACACACACACACACACACACACGCCCCCTGGCTGATAATGCAAGTAGTTTTGTGATCAGCTAAGTGACATTTTCCTCCAGTGTTTCAAGTGTTATTTTTATCCAGTACTTATACGACTGAAAGAAGTCACCACTGTGTTTACAAAAATACATCATAATGACACACACTGCTGTTTCGACACATTTGCATTGGAGTTGTGACTCAAGCATCCCTCCTGACGTGTTTGCCAAGCAGCTTTGGCAAGCGTCGCCACAATAAACACATACCAGCAAGACTCACTCCATATGTGCAAAACCATTTTCTATTACATATCTCCAGATTCACATGTGAAAGCTGTCACAAATGAACACAGACCTGTACTGTGAGACGGTACAGCACTGACTGAGGAAACTATACATTTAAAACCTTTTCTAAAAGTCACCAAAAAAAGGACCTTCAAACCAAAAAAGATAACTGTCTATACAGAAACTAAGGAGGTAGTCATTGGGTGTCAGGGTTAGACTAGCACACTACTGAATGTTTAACCCCCTTCACCAAAAAAAAAAAAAAAAAAAAAAAAAAAGAAACAGAACTCAAATGAGTGAACACTTGTGTTCTGGACGTGGTTCACATCTTCCCACGGAGCTCCATCCACTTTCTCAGAGGTACAGAAAAGAGGCACAAATCATTAAATGGCAGAGATATGAAGAAACCACAAGCCTGCAGATTCCTAAGTTTGAGTTATTGTTTAGACTTTGTGTAAACATCTAATAGTTCAAGAATCACTACTGGACTGAATAATGATAAAGTCCTATTGCTATCAGGGACCATAACCTGATGCCATGTAGAGTAGCTGTGTCAAATACAATTTCAATTACATGTCTCCTTATCATCCTGACGGGGTCAGGGATGACACATGGACCACCCGCTGACTACAGCTGCAGTGGTGACATGCATCCCTCAACACCTCACCAAGAGAGGACAGCACTCTCGGGCACCTATGTTCCCCGCTACCTTCTTAGGGAAGCCTCATGAAACACATGGTCAAAGTCCCCCAAATGCTGTGATGGACAAGGAATAGGGTTAAGGCCCGGCACACACACTTTCAAGCAAAAAAAAAAAAAAAGCTACAAATTGAAACGCTTCAGTTTTTTTGATACCATGAGAGGCTGAACAGTGCACCCACAAAGAGGCTGGTGAGACAATGTGACCTTATCAAATCCTTGTAGAACACTGCTCCCCTCTACAGGTTCCTGGTTCCAGTCCCTGACAGGTCATCCCAGGGTCAGCCTCCTCTTGGCAAGATCTGTGCCTGGGGCATCAATCACCGAGAAGCAGGCATTTTAATTTGGAAAATGAAGAATACACCATGACGATGTCACTATTAACCATGGAGCTTCTGAGAGCCGGGACACTGGACCTACCTAATCACTGACAGGAAACGGCACATTTAGTCACGCCAGCCTGGCAACCACATTTTTCTCACCGATGAAATGGCACAGCTGCATCCTGAGCTGCTTTTAACTCAAGTCACCTTCAAACCAACACTAAATGACTCAGGGTAATTCTAAGAGTTGACAGAGGGCTAAGTTTTGTGTTGGGAGAGCAATGTGTCTGACTGCCAGAATGACGTGGAAAACCAAACCAAGTTGACAGACAACATTCTCAGACCTCCAAACATTAAATCAAAGGCTTGCTGAAAATGAGAACAGCCTGATCCATGGTGAGTTCTGAACCCCTGCCAGAGATGGCACCTTTTGCAGGCTGATTTAACACTCAGGTGACCGCCCAGGAAACCATCATGACCTGAGCAGCACCCCAGCCTTAAATGGAAGAGGCCAGCAGAGTGTTGAGACAGGTCTCAGGGACCACCTGTTGGTATCAGGCAGTGGACCGAGCTAAAGAAAACAGCAATTGCATAAAGAGAGGCAGGAAAAACGGACACCTGACTGGGGCTGAAGTCCGCAGGTCCTGGGCCCAGGATACACATGGAAACTGGCTGCAGATGCCGAGGAGGTCGGCGCTGCGGTTCTTAGCGTCCTCATGCGCACAATGGCCAGCATCACGCCACCGTTTCAGAACTGGTTACTTGTGGGCAACTGCTGACAGAGAGTTCACTGGGAGAACGAAGCAGCTCGGGAGCAAGGGTGGCCTAGCAGCAAGGGCGCCCTTTCAGGCGGCAGAAACAACAGCCTGTCTGGAGGTTCCCGGCCCGGCCCCACAGCTGCGGTAAACAAAGGCTTAGAGGTGCCCCAAATGCTCCTGTCACCCCTAGTGACAACCTGTACCATGGCGGGATCCAAGACAGTGCACAGAAGGTGTGTGCAGACAGCCTGCAAGTCTGCGTTCCTTAAAAGCAGCTGCTAACCATGGCTGCTGTAGCAAGGACCATGTACCCAGGAGGAAGAGGAACTGCAGCCCAGTGCAAAGGGGAGATGGGAAGGCAGATGAGGCGATGGCGGCCTCCCCCAAGGCTTTATGGCATTGGGAGTTTCCTAGGACAGATTTCCCAGACCTCTGATCACACATTAAGAAATACCCCCTTCTCTTGGACTGCCAAAGACACTGCTCTCATCCACTGTAAATGACAACTCACTTGCTCAGTTTCTTTTACTTCTAAACTGCTCAGCTGATTTGTTCAAAATCTGATGCTAAATATTGAATCTAAAAGATATGTGATTTATTTTGGCAAGAACAGCCTCACCAAAGGTCCTTTTCTAAATGGATACAGACTGAATTCCTATCCCATTTTCAAAGCCGTTCACTGTGTTTGTAGATGACATTCACAATCTTCAGTGAATGCTGCCCATTTAGCTCTTGGGTCCACTTGTTTGGTAAAGTGAGTCCCATCCTTATCAGAAAGGATTATAGCACCTCTGTAGCCTTTGCTGGGAAGTGGTTCCCAGGGTACCACTAACCTCGCATACATTTCCACAGATTAACCAGGGAGGCAGAACAGTAACTCTGAGCTTAGGCTGCAGAGGGCTTGTGGGGAGAGGAGAGGCACAGCTGGATGAGGCGTTTTCATCCATGACAATGGAAACGGAAGTTTCACCTATTCTAAAGCTCCACTCAGTCCAGAAAGCAAGTTTCAGAGAAATCCCGGACCAGCCATTGCAGTTGTCAGAACGGCCTTGATGCTGCATGTCCACAATGCCAGACCCCTGACCAGCAGCAGATGCCGTCAGTCATGTCCTGTGCTTGAAGATCTTACCAAAGGGTAAGTGCACATTCTCACTGAACCCGCTACCCTGGCATTTTGTCGGCCAAGTATGACTTAAGGCTATGGATGCTGTGCATCAAGGGACTTATGAAACGAGGGATCTGAAAATGGTTTAGATCCTTTGGGTGTTTCCTAAAGATATAAAGAAAATCTGCTTGTAAACCACAGAAACCAGGCTGCCTTTCTGATCAACACAGTGAGTTTTGTCTATAAGATAACAGAAAAATAGCTGACCTCCACTTAACCATCCATAGACATGGCCTCTGTCCTCTGGCTTCTAATCAGTAAGTTGTGATATATGGAAGCTTACAGTGTCACCAATCCTGTGTCTTTGGAAGATCGAAACAAGACTTACTTGAACTAAGTGAGAAAATGCTTGTTGCTGGTCCCTTAGAACAACTCTGTGTCTTCCCTTCCATCATGCGCAGGGAACCTAACTGAACCTTCCCAGGAGACCAGCTCTGCTCAGGAGGCCAGGCTGACCTGAAGACTCGGGACAGAAGACATCCTCAATGTCTAGCGAGTCAAGACTTTATGTCAACTGTACCTCTGCCTCTGTGATAGAATACACCCCAAATCTACTGCAGGTGCCAGAGACTTCCTAAAGACCCCTCAAGTGGATTTCTATCTGGGAACCGTGGCAGTGGGTCACAGTCTTAAGCTCGAGACTTGTGAAGTATGACAGAGGAACATGCTTTGGACGCTAAGGTAACGAGGAAGTGCACATTCACCACTGGAACTCTGACACAGAACAACACGGAACGCCGCTGCGCGGGTGGGAGGATTCCGTCCGCTAGTCCCCCGATCCATCCTGGGAACTCTTGTTGAAGACCTCATCTTGGGAAGCCTGGTGATCCATTCCTTCATAAAACGAGCCGCCGTTGTGCAGGAAAGTCCCCACTGCCCGGCCCTGTCGGGCGTGACCCACGGCGTCGCTGAACACTTTGTTTATTTGCTCCTCGGAGGGCATCCACCAATCGGGGTTGGAGGTACAGTGCATCCTAATGAATTCTGTGGGAATACAAACAACGGTGAAGGAGAGAAGGAAACAGCTGGCTGTTCTGTTGACAGATGATGACGGACAGAAAGGCTGCTGAGCCCATATGAGGAGCCCTATCGGACAAGTTACGTGGGATCCAGGGCAATGCCACGACTGTCACTCGCTATAACCAACCTACAACCCCCACCCCCCACCCCGCCAGAGCTCCCCTGTGCAAGGGCAAAAGCCACCCTAAACCTCTAGGGAATGTCTGCTGTTGAAAACAAAGGTGTCTCCCTTAACTGCTCTTTGCCCAGCTTCTGATACGGATCCCAGGGATGAACTCGGCCCCTCAGGCTTGTGCGGCAAGCGGTTTCCCCACTGAGAACCATTTCCCCAGAAGGGATATGGTGGACTTGAGTTTGCATCGCTTTGGCTGCACAAGTAAGGAGCCCAAGCCCAGCACTGCCTCTTGGTGAGCAATTCCATCACCTCTGATGACGATGGGCAATCGGGAATCAGCATCGATTAGCTAAATGACAGAGCTTCTGGAAATTTCCATCAGCTGGTCACGCTAAACAGGTGGGATTTTCCTACTAAAGCCCACGGGCTCGCTTTACAGCACGGATGCTAGTCAATGGTGGTGGTCTGGTGGCAGTGACGTCCCCAAGCAGGGGGCCCTTGCATAGGAGTCATGTAGGATGACTGAGAGCCAAGCATGCACCAGCCCTTCAGTCCCTGCCCAAGAGGAATCTGTGGGGTGAGCCAAAGATGCCTAGCTGCCTCCCAACAGGACGTGTATACTTCGACAGCAGGGATCACAGAGCTCCAATGTCTAAGAGAAGGCTGTGTCCTGGGGTGAGTAGAGGCAAGCCTTCCAATGGTTAAAGCCTTAAGAGTGATCTATACCTACCTACCTACCTACCTACCTAATAAACTGTGACTTTCACTAGGAAAAATTTAGATTCCTATCCAGACTAAATCAACATGTCTTTCTAGTCAATAAAATTAGTTCTCAGCTGCGAAGGGTCTTCTGGTGTGTTTTTGGCTCTGTGTTGCAGGACAGACAGTGTTCTGGTGACCCTATCTTGTTTCTACTTGTCTGTGTCTGCTGAAACCTGTTCCATCAACTGCTAGTCCTCCAACCTTTGCCTGACCTGCAACTGTGGAGACCAAAGCAGTCAGTCACCTAAAATACTGACAAAACTGTGTCAGTGAAGCAGAATTTTAACAGACGCTTTAAAAAAAAAAAAAAAAAAAAAAAAAACCTAAAAAGGGTTTATGGGTAAAGTCTACTTCTGGTATCCTTTGCATGTATTACTAGAGAAGCAAGCCAGATGACGGCCCATGGAAGCAAAATGCCCTATAACCCATTACAAAATGGCCCATCTTCTCTCCCCGGGCCTCTCTCCCTATGCTCCAGTTTGAATGTGGCCTTCTCTGGCAGCAAAGCAAATCTGAACGGAAAGCGTGAAACATGAGGTGCTATGTGATGCCTTTGTAGCATTATGTGAAGACGAGGCGGAAGGAAAGAGCCGTTCACAGAGCTTGTCAACACCAAGGAGATGGGCCACATGAAGCTTAGAGGGTCTTGGTGCAAAGATTTAAAAAAAAAAAAAAATCAAAATACAGGAAGGGCTGTAACACTTGTGTGGGGAGCCACAGCCAATGCAGTGAAATGGGGTCACGGATGATGGACACTGAGGGGAAGGATGCGGTACCTCGGAGGCACGTGACTTTAACTGGATCCAGAGGGCGTCTTTCGGGACCTGTCTCTCCTGACTGCACTGACCTTTTCCTTTTCCCAAGGCCGCATGAGTACTTAAGCTCATCGGTTGTGAAAACAAATCTGATGAGGTATCGGAGGAGCCGGCGCCCATCTTTCTTGGAGGAGTTCACAGCCTCGTCCCACTGTTTGCTCGTTATGTAGACAGGGTAGTTGTTCAGCAGCTGCTTACTTCCCTGGAAAAAGGAAAATATTTTCTCATTACCTCCGGAGCCAGCCAGCCAGCAGCCAAGTGATCTCCATTTCAAAGGCAAACGTGCTTTTAAAGCCAGGGGCTCTGCCGACAATGAACCGGGCACTGAAGAGCACCAGTAATTGCTCACACTCAGAACGGGCACTTTTCAAATTACATTTGCATTTTCTGTAACAAGAGCCAATGAGGTATAATGAACACCTTTGAAAGAGGAGCTATTTATAACTCGCCTTTTAACAGGTAGGTTAAAATGTGTCAAGATCCAATGACAGGGAGCACTCTTTAAATATAACCTGTAACTTTCCCTTTCAATCTATTAGCGATGCAGAAATGACTTTGAAGAGTGTGATCAAACAGGTCCCCGCATCCTCCGGCTGCCAGTTACGCTCTTGGAGAAACGGTGCCGAGCGGTCTATTTTAACAGGCGTTACTTGTGTGTGAGGCACCTAGCACACGATTGCCGTGGTGTAACAGCGCAGACGTGAAAAGACCGGGTTTAAAAGGAGGAAACTGGGAAAAAAAAAAATGAATGCAAAACAGCTTTTCTCAAACTGTAGCTTCTGCAAATGCCAACGTGTCAACTAAAAATTTTCTTACTTTTCACCTTCATAATTTATGTCTGCTGTGAAATTCCCAAGCTAAATGGCTGCGGTGGGACTAATTACGGGGACTTCTGTAACATTTATAAGCCGTGTTTAGTCAATTGCACCCACGCAACCATTACTTTGGTTCTGGCTGTCCATAAAATTCTACAGTCCAGGACAAATTAATTAACCCATGATCTCAGTTTTAATAAACTTCTTCCCCAGTAATTAAGGTGTACAAAAAAAAAAAAAAAAAAAAAAAAAAAAAAAAGGGAAACCCATTCAGTTTTACAACTCTGAAAATTTACTGCGGGTTATAAATTTCGTACTGTTTGGATCTGACAGGGTTTTATTTCAAAAACCGCTTGCCTAGTTAAGCATGGAGCAGGTATTGGGAAGAACGCCAGAGCAGGACAGCGAGGACTGCATCTGACTTGGAAGCAGTCACTGGACAGTGCACACAGAAACTCTTCGACGTTCTCCTGCCGGGGACAGTGGGACTTAGTTTCCTTTAAGGAAGGCAGCTGAGGTCAATGGTTTGTGCACTGCATTTAGAAGACAGGCTAGCTTTAAAATGAACTGGGTCCCATGGCTTATTAACTTTGAGGAAGCTACATGAACTTGCTGGAGTGGCCATAGGTAGTCAACAGGTGGTAGCATCCAAAACCCTGGGCTCTGGGACCTTGTGCACACGTGTGATCAGAAATCAGGAGCCCAGGGCTGGCGGGTTCTTTCTGCTTGTCCTTCAGGAGGAGGTGGGAGTTGGACATGAAGGAACGGGGGAGCCAGGCCAGCAGTGTGGTTAGCCAGCCTGTAGACCACAGAGTCCTACTTGAGGGGAGGGTGGTGAGCCGCATGGCCGATGCAGAAGGGAAAATAATCCACTGCTCCTCATGGACACAGGAAGGGGCTGAGTGGATCTCCAGCAAATGACCTTTCCACCCAGGCAGCTGGCGGAGCTTGAGGTGGGTGGCCTCCCAATGGCCCAGGACCACTCCTTCTAAAGCATTTTACAGAAGTCCTTTACTAACAGCTGCACTACTTACTGAACAATTAGCCATAGTCAATTAGACAGGAGGGGCCGGGAGAGACTGGGGCTGGAGAGGTGGCGCAAATGTTCAGAATACTGACTGCTCTTCCCGAGGGCCTGGGCTCAATTCCCACGGCTGCTCACAGCCATTTGTAATTCTAGTCCCAGGGCCTGAGGGCACTAGGTAAACACGTGGGCCACATACACGGGTGAAAACAAAACTCCCCTTAGCGGAACCAAACCCAAACAACGCAATTATAAAGTTGGGCCATGGGTTCAGCCTCAGAGAGACTATTCTCAACTTCAGCTCTTTCCTGTCAAAATCGGGCCAACAATACCACAGTCACCAAGCATGGTGGCCATTCATGTCTGTAACCCCAGTACTCTAGAGTCTGAGGCAGGGGGTCTGTTCAGAGTTCAAGGCCAGTTTCAGTTATATAGTGAACTCCAGGGCAGTTTTGTGAACAGAGTGAGATCCTGTCTCAAAAGAGATAAGAAAACAAAGGGACAACTGCAGATTCCCAGTTTCTGTTGAGGTGTGTCCATCCATCTCCCACCACAGACTCTGAGGGCCGGGACGCGCGTGCTCCATGCAGTAACCTCTCCGAGTCACAAAGCAGGTGTAGCACACTGGTCAAGTGAGTGATGTGGCCCAAGGATTACTGACGTGACCGGCACAAAGCAGATGCCTGGCAACAGTGGCTGTAGTGAAGAGTTTAAAGCCAGGGGCTGAAGAGATGGCCCAGTGGTCAGAGCAGTGGCTGCTCTTCCCCAGGACCTGAACTCAACTCCCAGCACCCGCATGGTGGCTCACAAGCATCTGTCACTCCAGTCCCAAGGAATCCAATGCCCTCTTCTGGCCTCTATGGGCCTTGTATGCATACAGTGCAGACATATGCAGGCAAAATACCCATACATGAAAAATAAAAATGAAGGTTAAAAAAAAAATCAAAACCCCTCCTCTTACAGTCCCTGTGAACACATTCATCATTAACCTTAGAAGAAAACTCCACAGCTACTTCTTGAACGGTTTATTTTCTATCATCATCATCCTTACCATCACCATCATCATCATTGCCATCACCACCATCATCATTGCCATCACCACCATCATCCTCACCATCATCATCGCCATCACCACCACCACCATCATCACCATCATTGCCATCATCACCGCCACCACCATCATCACCACCATCATCATCACCACCATCACCACCATCATCACCACCATCATCATCATTACCACCATCACCACCACCACCATCATCATTACCACCATCACCACCACCACCACCACCACCACCACCACCACCATCATCATTGCCATCATCACCACCACCACCATCATCACCACCATCATCACCATCATCATTGCCATCACCACCATCATCACCACCATCACCACCATCATCACCATCATCATCATCATCATCATCATCATCATCATCATCCTAATATACCTGTTTCCCTGGGGTTGGGGTGCTTACCCTCAAGGAAAAGTTATGGCTATTTTACCAAGGCTGTATCCCTTCCCAAAGAGTCACAAGTTCTTAAGTGAGGTGGGATGGGGGAAGGCTGAGTTTTTCACTCATCCCTTAATACTGAGCTGTGCCCCTAACCTGTGTCCATTTCAAGATGAGGGTGTTCGTGATTAGGGAGCTGGTAATCTAAGACAGGCACTTTTTCAAATCTTTGAGAAAAATCATAGCAGAGTCCTATGCAACTCCAAACCACAGCAGCTCAACATAAAACATGGATCTCATAAAATGCAGAATTACCATTTGGAGGTAATTTTCATCAAGCAACAGAAGAAAGAGGACCAGTAATTTATAGCCCCAAACACAACCTAGGAAGCCCTGTGGGTTATGGATGAGAGTTGTAATCCTGTTTTACCATAGTTAAAAGGAGTAAAATGTGATAAATAATAAAAATGAGAAAATTCTCAGGTGCCTGAGATGACAATAAAAACAGTATAGTAATGATGATGATGACAGGTAATGAAGTTTAAATGGCCCTATCCAAGGGAAACACAGGCAATCCTCTGTCCTCATCTACTTGTGTGGGGGTATGCATGCACTTTTATGCCTGTACACGGGGAGGGCACGGTTCGATGTTGGGGTTTTCTTTAAATGACTCCCCACCCTGGTTTCATTTCTTTTCTTTCTTTTTTGAGGCAGAGTCTCACTCTGTAGCCTCGGCTGTTCTGGAACTCACTCTGTAGACCAGGCTGGCCTCTGCCTCATGAGTGCTGGGATTAAAGGCTTACAGCTGTGTGCTACCTCGCCCAGCCTTTCCACCTTCATTTTTGAGACAGGGTCTCTCACTGAATCTGGAGCTCACAGACCGGCAAGGTTGCCAGGTTAGCAAGCCTGCCCCCACCTCCCAAGTGCGGTGGATTACAGCCGCACGCCCTGACCACACCTGCTTTCCACGTGGGTGCTGGAGCACCCCACTTGTACTTTATCAGCTGAGCCATTCTCCCAGTCCCTCCTTCTATTTTGGGGGGCTGGCTGTGCACTTCAGTTAGCCATAGTTACTAACCCTCACCCATGGAGTCACACTGAAAACGGCCCTCACTGTACAGGTTTACAATGTGCTCTGAGCACAGGCAGGGAGCGGCAGCCAGAGACACTTCCTGGACAAAGTACAGATGTCACTTGTGTTTTATACCATAAAATGTCAGGTTAACAAATGTAGTCTTCAATTATGGATTTTAATTTAGGCTCGATCTTTAATTTAGAAAGATAACTTTGTTTTGTGCAGAGAAGAGGGAGGTAAAAGGTGCTAAAAGTGCTCAGACCACAAAGGAGAAAATGAACATGGAATGTTTGGGAATAAGAAGAAAGCCAGTGACAGGGAGGAGCTTCTGCCTGGGTTTGGCGAGGCCTTTCGAGAAGGAAAGTGGAAGGACGAACGGCTGGAGACCGGAGCAGGTGGTGCAGAGTGAGGAGGTTGTGGGCCGCCCACCGACAGCCCAAGCCATGAAGGGTGATGTCGACTTGAGCTGTGGGTCCTTTTAGACTTCAAGTGGCCGAGAAGGGGGAGGGGAGGAGGAGGTGGAGGAGGAAGAGCACCCCACAAACTGACTGAGACAGTAGAGAGGAAGGAAGGAACCCAGGAACAATGGATGACAAAGTCATGGGCATCAAGGACAGACAGCCAGGCGATGGCCCTGGCACAAGGCCCAGGAGGGAAGCGTGAGCTTGAGCGACCAGGCTTGAAAAGGGCTCCTGGACCAGACACCCAGGAAAGGCACAGGGGTGGGGGTAAGGGGGGGGTCCCTGCAGATCACTGGGGAGCAGTGAGGGGAGTGAGAGTATGGGGTAGAAGGGGAATGAAACCAGAGTGGAGATCACTGAACAGTTCTGAGACATGTTTAATCATTTTAAAGTGAGTCATCATTCAGAAAGCATCAACTGAGAATCCAGGGTTCTCAGAATCTAAGAGGCACTGGGGTGCTAATGGGGATGAGGAGTGTTTAGGAGATGCGTGGCGTGGCGTATGGGAGTGCTGACAGGGTGCTTTGGGAGCACGCTCTGACAGAAGATGGAAGGAGGCATGGTAACTGAGGAAGGCAAGGAGACTCAGAGCCATGATCTAAAGTCTGAAAACACGAAGGTGGGAACGTTCTCCAGACCGAGCTTTGAAAATCTTGTGAACATGTAGTCTGTTAAACACCCTAGCATCAAGGGACCACTGTCCTATACAACGGGAGACTGGTTGCTTCTACCGTGGCTCAGAGAAAGAAAACTGCTTGGGTGTGCTGTCTGGGATATAATGTCTGTCAGACACCCCAGAGCAAGACACATGGAGAGCAGGGCTCTACCTAAAGGCATGCTGGGTGCTATCTCCATTTCCGACGTCCCTGCTCCAAAGGAATGGGGAGACCTATGCAATGTAAGCTGCTGGCCCCCCTTCCTTTCGAAGAGCAGAAGATGACTCTCTGTCAATTAAATGCGCATGTGGTCTTTCTCCACAGAGTATGAGCCCACAGTAACAGACCCACTGGCTCCCCACACTCAGCAATGTGCTTGGCCTGCCCTCTGCTCCAGAGAGACTGGAAGCTGTGAGCAGGCTTCACCTGGGGGCATTCCACAGCAAGCCTGTGTCCCTCTTCCCCAGGGCGACTCCCCTCTCCCCCAGGGCGACTCCTACCTCGGTGGGCTGGTCGGCGGGCTGCGGCAGGAGCTGGCTGTGGTGCAGCAGTACTGTCTTTAGGTAATCTAGGACGGTCTGGCAGGGCACTGTGGGGAGGAACAGCAACAGCATACATTAGCTCGCTTTCAACACGGGGGCAAAAACCTGGGAAGGGGCAAATCCGTTTTCTCCAATGGCGTCTCAGTGGGTATAGCCAACCAACACAAACAAACCCCATGTTTTGTTTTGTTTTGTTTTGTTTTGTTTTGTTTTTAAATGGACTTGCGGTCTCATTTTGTTTTTGTCTTACTGGTCTTTTGCTTGTTTGTTTTGATAGTTATTTGTTTACTTACTTACTTTGGGGGGGATTGAGAGCACAAAGCTGGGGAGGTTCTGGGAGGAGTTGGGGGAGGGGAAAGATCGACACAGAGTGTATGCTCATCACATAATCTGAAGAAAGAAAAGGTGGAAAGGGAAAGGGATGGTTTGGGACAACAGGAAAGAGACCCCTGCCCTACCCCTAGTCTCTAAGGGAGAACAGCTAACTACCCAGTCAGGGTCCTTCCCACCCTGGAAGACCACAGCAGACCACACTTCGACAGTAGCCTTTGGGCCCTGCTGCTTCGGGTGTGCTGATTCTGACTTGACTTACGCAACCCCGGGGCAAGTTACCTGACCTCTCTGAGCTCCTGTGCTCAAGCCTGTCCGACTGGAATGATCACTCTGCATAGTTACCGTGAGGAACAACTGAGGTAATGACGTGAAGCAGAAGCAAAGCCGACCGACCGGGAGCTACCAGTGTTTTAAGTGCAGCCGTCCAGTGAGCTCCTCAGAGGCCTCCTAACTCGGCTGCTCCCTCAGTGCCTGGACTGGGTAAGCCTCTTCTAAAGACACAGTTACAGTTTTGGTTTTCCCATATTAAGGCTGAGTGGGTCTTCAGCTAACAGTTTCAGTGTACCAATATTATTAGCCACGTAGCCTCGGCTGGCCTGGGTCTCGCCATCCTCTTGCCTCAGCTTCCTGAATGGACTGGATTACAGGCCCGTGCTACCACACCCAGCTAAAATCTTGGTCAGTTTATCTCCTCTCCTCAAGCACTATTTTATCTGTCTTTCAGTCAAAGACTTCAAACTCCTCAAAATATTACTCAATCGTTTTACAGGAAAGTTGAATTTTTTTTTTTAAATTGCTGACAACCCCAGCTGTTATGTTTAATAATCTTCATGTAGCCTAACCATATTTATTTTAGTAACATATAATAAGCTCCTCAATAGAAATATCGCACACCAAATGGTCAGCAGTAAGTATTAGCCTCCTACAGCTGCATGGCTGGAGTTCAGATAAAGACAATGCCCTGTTCCAACTGGGACGGGGACATCAAGATGATAGGTGTCCTCTCTGCCCTCAAGCACCGTAAAGCCCCTTATCAGGAGAGTCAGGGTAAACACAGGCTTGAAAACAACTTTAACAGAGGTATGCATGGTGTGCTTGGAGCTTAAAAAAGGTCTCTCACAAGGAGGAACGCCTTGTTTCAACTGGGGACTGAAGAATGCACAGGAGTTTCTCAAGAAAAAGACAAGCATATTTTGGGGGTGAAAAGAGCCGGGGGTCAGATAAAGTGTCTGGTTGCCCAGAAGTCACAACTGACCAGTGACATGTGGTGTACTGTGGGCACTGAAGGTTGAAAAGTCTCTAAGAACGTTCAGGAAGAAAGCCAAGCACCGTGGTGCCCGGCCTGTAATCTCAACTCTCGTGAGAGGCAGGTAGGAGGACCATTTTCAGCTACACAGGCAGTCATAGGGCCCTATCTCCCCCGGACAGGACCCCAGAGAAGTGAAGACTGACTACAAGCAGCACACACCAACCTGAGGCCTGCTGGCCTCTTTCTGAGTCAGACACCACTTCTAATCTGGAAAACTAGTCTCTGGATGGCTAGGCACACAAGTCTCACGCTTCCTTTCTTGGTTAAGATGGGGTTCACCACTTATCTATCACACACATCTATCACACATATCTATCACACAAGGTTCTTGGACTCCTCTCGTGTCCAAGCCTTTTTGGCTCTTGGATTACAGACATGCTCTACCAACGTCTAGAAACGATTGTTCTTTCTCCAAGATTTGTTTTATGTGTCTGAGTGTTTTGCCTGCTTGTCTCTATGTGCACCATGTGCATGCCTGGTGTCTGTTGAGGTCAGGAGAGGATACTGGACCCCTTGGAACTGGAGTTATGATGTTTGTGGGCCACCATGTGGGTCCTCTGGAAGAGAAACAAGTGTTTTTTTTTTTTTTTTT